CGGAGATTACGCGCGGATAAAAATACATTTGCCGCCTGTGTGTATGCTGAGTATTCGCGCTCTATTAATACAACAATAATTTGGATTATTGCGTATGCACACGGTAGGAGGGGGAGAGGAGAGGCGCGCGAATATCCGCCGAGTAAAAACTCGGCGCGCGCTGAAATTTCCCGATAAAATACCGTGAAAGAGAATACTATGCGGATGCTTCTCGTTGAAAAAAAATACATCGTTCGCTGCGAGATACCGTAGTGCATAGCTCAAAGACGGCTCTAACAAAAATATCACTCGGTATCTTGTGAGCGCGCGATAAATTTCCATGCGCGAGTCGTTTCGTAAAACGTTAGGGCGACCGGTATTATCAAGACAAGAGGACACCGTAGGCGGTAAATGCCGCCGAAATGCCATTAGCCTGCCGGGCTGGTCGAAAGTTGCAACCAGGCCGTGGAAAGAATATGACGCAACGAAAGTTTTCAGAACAGGCACATAATTTCTCGCGAAAAATTAAGCGACCGCTTTTAAAAAGTTACTTTCTTCGTGTAAAATTTCGTAACCTATGCATTACACAAAATGGCATCAATTAGTGCCGCTGTAATCGACATGTTTTATATGCGCAGCGATATTAATGCGAGTCTCATTAATATTTTAAAATAACTGACACATGACTACATACGTTTTTAATGCCTCGACGGACTTCTTTCTTCGGCCAGACAAAGAGTTCGATTTCACCAGCCCGAGAGCAAAGCGGGAGCAAAAGGAGCGCGTCGCGCATCATGGACCGAATGGGTCCGTCGTCTCCTTTGTCACATTTTTGCCTTTCGCTGGCGAACCGTGAGCCTCGACGGACTTCTTTCTTCGGCCAGACAAAGAGTTCGATTTCACCAGCCCGAGAGCAAAGCGGGAGCAAAAGGAGCGCGCGTCGCGCATCATGGACCGGATGGGTCTGTCGTCTCCTTTGTCACATTTTTGCCTTTCCCGAATATTCTCGGAAAGAATACTCGAAAGAGGAGCCAAGCAGATGCTTACGCGGGTAAAAATGACTTCCTTCGACAATATGGTATGGTAAACGTGTCGCGGGTCACGTTTAAACTTTCAAACATCATGGAAATGTGTCGCGAAGAGAGAGAGAGAGAGACGCGAATAAACTTGGTCCAGTTTGCGAATTCCACGGCAAATGCACTCAGGACGCACGACACAATTTTCCAATCGCGATTAAAAATTTATGCGTTTCCGCGGAAAAGCGATTCGTCTTCGTAGCCGCGGCCGCGACTGCGGCTGCGGCATCGCCACTTATGGTAATATTTCGTGCATCGCGCGAGGCATGCATAATGCAGTTCAGAACTCGAAATTTATGCCGCGGGCGGGAAACGATCGTAATGTAAAACGAGCGACCGACCCGTGTGTGTGTGTGTGTGTTTGTGTCTTGCCTATCCTAGAGATGCTGGGAACCGTCTACGGTTATGCATCATCGATGAGACATAAACGTGAAATGCTCACCCGCCGAATTTCAAAAATAACGTCCCCCCCCGATGCTTATTTTTATAATCGTATAGAAAGTAGAAATTTCAACAATTTTCTTTTACGGTGAAACGTCAATTACGGGCTTCGCTACAAATTTGAAACTTTGCAGTAAACAGTATAATTCCTTCCTCGACATTCTCGCTAACAACGTTTAATTCGTGAAACTGTGGAATAGACATTCTGTATGCATAATTTCGCAATGGAAATACACGAGATTTTAATAATTAAAAACGCAGTTATTAACAAAAATGGCGGTTTACTGAAAATAGCGGTTGTCATTGGAAATTTACTCATTTCCATATTCATCATGCACATGAATAACGCCTCTCGAAATTCTGTCCCATTTCTTTTGAAATTTATATCGAGCGAGCCTCTCTCTCTCTCTCTCTCTCTCTCTAGCTTCAGTAGGTTCAGATTAAATCAGCCGACGGAGACGAGAATTAATTCGGTCAAGACGAAGCTCGTTAAAGAGCGTTGACTGTAGCGGCTTTTCCCACTCGCGCTTTTAATTCTCTCGAAAGGAAAAAGTCGCAAAAGGTTAAACTTATGCATAAACTTCCACTACAACCGTGGCGACAAGCCCACGGTGTGCAAGAAGTTCCCTCTCCGGTCTCTCTGCTCCGCATTATATCAGAATCCCTCCTTCTTCTCTTAACGCCCGAGATTCGCCTCCGACCGACCTAAACTACTCTTCGAGACTCGACTCCCCCCCCCCCTCACTTCCTTTCCCTTCCTCTCCGCCAACCCCCGATATAGCGCGCTCTCACTTTCTTCCCTCCGTTCCGCGAAATCCCCCACGCGTTCGATCGCGCGAGATTCACCGTCGACAAAATTAGCCTCCGCGAAACGCGGCGAACATCTGCACCCCAAAAGCGTACCTACCGTCAAAAGCAGTCTACGGTTACATTTCCGTCTATTTGTTTTCGCCGGAAAGCAACGCTCGCGCGTTGTAGTTACGATCGTGAAATTTCGAAAGAGACAGATATAAATTCATGGATGGATAATTAATTGATTAATCAAAGTTATGGAGCGATTAGAGCTCCGAATTGAAGACCGACTTTGTCAAAA